CTATTGTTGATGTTATGATCTTGATTTTTTTTTTTTCTTTTACCTGAAAAGATAAAGTTAAATATACTGAACTCTCTTCTCTCTGAGGCATGCTTGCATTTTCTTCTCAGTTTAATTTTCCGTCATGGTTGGAGAGGGAAAAATATTGTTGATGTTAACAATCTTGACTTATTTTTTTCTTTTACCTGGAAATTTGAGATTTTGATACCGAGTGTAATTTAATTAACTTAGTTTCATGCAGTATGAAGAATATGAGTGAAAGTAAATAATTATATATTATAAAGAAAATTGGTCTGAAATATAACATCTAAAGTTAGCTCTTTGATAAAGTTGAGGCACACAAAATTTAAAACTCACATACGAATATTGGAAAATTGAAGTGGAGCCAAGTTGTCTCTGTGTACCTAGAGGGTAACAGGTCTGAGATGTGGAATCAACCTCTAATGCTTTGGGTAGGTTGTCTACATTATACCCCTGGGTTTGGACCTTTTCTGGACCCTAAGTGAATGCGAGATGCTTTTCACCAATTTTTTCCTTTTCATTTTTCATCATACTGTGCTCCAGAAAATGCAGAAAAATAGTATACTATTACATAGTTATTAATCAGTATTTCTGTGTGCAGAACTGTAAGATTCACCATTCCGTGGTTGGGCTCAGATCATGCATATCAGAGGGAGCAATTATAGAAGACTCACTTTTGATGGGGGCCGATTACTATGAGGTAATGCTAATAATTCTTAGATTACCAGAAAAGATATCTAAAACTAATATACACGGGAACATGAATTTAACTTTCTTCGCTTATTAAACTTGCTGTATATATGTTCTACTGCGTAGCAACTTGCCTTAAGAGTCAAATTACACATGATAAAGAAAATACTGAGCTTGTGGTTTCCTTACTGCATTCACTTATTATAACGGACTCACTTTCTGACCCATTTTTGGTTCAGACTGATGCTGACAGGAAGCTGCTGGCTGCAAAGGGCAGTGTCCCAATTGGCATTGGCAAGAATTGTCACATTAAAAGAGCCATTATCGACAAGAATGCCCGTATAGGGGACAACGTGAAGGTTAAATTCCTTAAACTTTCACGCTTCTGACTTATTGTCATTTAAACATGCAATAGACGTGTAATGTTTTTTCTCAACATCATGTGTCCAGATTCATAGCATTGATTTAGTCATCGTGTCATATGGATCTTTTCCTTCATTATCTGGGCGATGTACAGTGATCATGAATTCCTAATGAGTAATTTTCTTTTGTCAGATCATTAACAAAGACAACGTTCAAGAAGCGGCTAGGGAAACAGATGGATACTTCATTAAGAGTGGGATTGTCACCGTCATCAAGGATGCTTTGATTCCAAGTGGAATCGTCATCTGAAGGAATGCGTTTTAACTTGGTTGTCCTCCTAGATTTTGGCTAAACAGCCATGAGGTAGAAACGTGCCGAAATTTTATTTTCCTGTGCTGTAGAAATCTAGTGTACATCTTGCTTTTATGATACTTCTCATTACCCTTACAAGAGAAGACTGGATGCTGTAAAAATTATTCGTCTAAAATAAAAAATAAATTACCCAAAAATCTGCTTTGATCTCACTTTTGCTTTAAGTTTACTCGTGTTTTTATCTCTGTATGGTTATAGTGAAAAGGAATTATTTGTTATTAATCAATTTTCCTGCTCGTGCTTTTAGTAATCACCAGGTCTTCTGATGGTTTTTGCTTCAGAGGGAATTCGGATTAGTCAGGTTCCAGTGTGGATAATGTTATCTCCTGTATTCAAATTAACAAATCAGAAATAATAAAAGATGGAAAGAAAAACACAAAGAACTATCCGAGTCCACAGAATTCACTGTGTCCTTAAAAAATTTAATCCTCTCAAGTACCCGAGGTTGTAGATTAATTTCTCCCAAGATAAAACGTATTAACCATTAAAGAAGTAGCGGTACCTCAAACTTTGATAATTTCAACGAACTCAAAATGACAGCAATGAATCACACGCACAGATACGATCGATTGATTTTGTTTTGTAAGAAATGTATGATAAAGAAGAGAAGAATTCGATGCAGAAAAATGAGAGAACCTCTCTATTTATAGCCAACAAAGGGTAAAAGGTCACAACCCTTTGGAAAGAAGACAACCTTTCAGAAAGGTCACAACACTTTGGAAAAGACACAACCTTTCAAACGGTCACAACCCTTTAAAAAAGACACAACCTTTTATAAAGGTCACAACCCTTCGGCATAGTCACAACTCTTCAGGAGAGTCGCAACCCTTCATTTCCTGTTCACACCTTTAAAACCCAACAGATAATTTACGGAGAGTGGGAAAACCCATATCTTCCACCACGTAATATGTATTGAATCATGCTTTAGAATACTCTCATGCAGGAAATATTGCAGAATGACTTTGAAGTAAAACATCAGAAAACAGCTATCAAATTCGAGTTTATACACGTTGAAGAGAAAATTACTTGCCATATATAGAAGAAAGAAGAAGATGAAAAAAAAAGAACACTGTTTCTTTAAATGTAGCTAGAAAAAAAAAAAGATCAATCAGAAACAAACATGACAAGCCATCAAAAGCTGGAGCAATCGCGAGTCCTTAGTTCTTGCTACTGTTCTTCTTACTTCCACCAGCAAGTACATTAGCTATTGCTGCACCAATACTCAAACTCTTAGCAGTTTTTGTATCTTTGAACTCCGCCTTTTTCTTCTCCTTCTCCTTCTCCTGTTCCGTTGTCTCATAGAAGCCATCAAAGAATGGAGTAATAGTGAGTGCTTTGTTCTTGCCATTGTTACTTTCACCAACACCTACATTATCTGTTGCTGCACCACCTTTTGTAACTGTTGAATTCGCGTTCTTCTTCTCCTTTGTTGGGAGAGGCGGCGATGGCAGCTTGACACCAAAGTAATCAGTACAAATAGTCCAATTTTGAAAGAGAGACATTCTGTATCAAGATTTGTTTACAAGAGTGATTCTTGAAGATGGAAAAATAATGAAAGTAGTTATAAGGTATATATAGAGAAGAAGAAATTTGAGTTTTAACCAAATCTGGAATGAAATAGGAGTTGATTAACAAAACCGAGTTTTGGTTGGATTTGGGAAAACGAGTTGCTTAATTTTATTCCTGCATGGAATATGATTTGATTTCTCTTTAGTTAATCGTGTAAAGGTTTTTAAAAAATCTACTTTTTGTAAGGTAGCACTTTAACTGCAATTCATATTTAGTCGGGCTCCAATATGGGTATCAGATATAAAAAAATGAGTCCAACTACATGTCCAACCCGTCAAGAATTTTAAGAGTTGGGCTCAAGATAATTTGAATTGGGTTCAATCTCAACTAATTCAAGCCTTAACCAATTTTAAGAAAATTCTCAATTGAGCCCAATTTAATCTCCAATATCAACCCATTTTAAGACTTTTTATTTGCATTGATGTAATGTATGTTGTTATATTGAAGATATGGATTACTATTTATTTTATATGTTTTAGAATTTATCTATCCATTTGTACCTTCTTCTTTTTTAAATTTTCTTCCATTGAAATTCAAAAATTGTGGTTATAAAACTTAAATAACAATATATTAAAATTATTGAGATTAAGCGGATAAAATTGAGTGGGTCAAGATCCAACCCGTTTTTAAGCCCATTTGAGTCCACCTCATTTTAGTCCAAAGAAAACTTGGACGGGTCAAGACCCAACCCAATTTCTATTTCAACTCATTTTAATATCTCCAATTTCTATCTAACCCACTAATTTAATACCCCTAGTATCGGACAACCGATAAGAAACCCAAAAAAATAAATAAGATGAGAGTAGAGAATAATAGTTAAGAGGTCCTAGTGGTAGTCATCCTCATCACTTTCTACATAAAAAATTATTTACTCAAAATGTTTATGTAATTTATACACAATTAGAGTTCAATTGTAAAATTGTTTTGTTGTTTATCAACAAGTTTTCACACGGAATGCCCTTATTTTAGGTGCTTTTCAATTTTTGCTCTCAAATATGATAGTTTTAACTTTTTTTCCCTGCTCACTTAATTAAAATTTATAGACCAAACTATCTTATCTATGACCTAATTTTGTAAGGCATAAATTAATAGATTTTTTGCTCTGTCCGGTGCAAGTTCTATAGAAATTAAGTTATATGGTACAAACTATGTAATATCTAACTCGTTCAGCATAAATTTAGACAATGTTTTGTCTTGTCCAGCATAAGCTCGGTACAAATAAGTTATGTCTCTTATCTTACGACATAACTTGTGGGTTCTATAGGAATAAAAGTTGTGATTCCATGCTATTGCAAACTTTAAAATATACTTGATTTAAAAAGATCCATTTGTCTACTAAATAAACAATAGTTTAACTAACTACTCTTTAACATAATCCTTTTAAAATCACAAACTTGAAATTGAAATTCTATTTTTCAATAGAATTTGAAATTTGAAATCTAAAATCAAATGTCAAAGTTTTGCTCAAACATCATAAATAAACACAAACTCCAAATTAATTAAACTCCAAATTGCATGGGTATATCAACAAAGAAATAGCCTTAACATATAGTTAATATAAAATCTTTTATGAACAGCTATACTAAAACAACTAAATAAGCCTCGAGTCTCCCTACATAACTTTGTTGAATCGACAACTCAAGGGGTAGGAAGCTATAGTACCAACGGAAATTCGGATGAACCCAATAACTTTTATCGAGCCCAAATAACCCCTGTTTGGTGACTACAATGCACCCCCCGCCTCTCCCCCAAGGGGATATGGGAGTGGGTGCAGCATAAAGAAAGAGGTGCTCGAAAAACAACCAAACATGAACTATTTCCCTTTCAAACTATCCATGTATCAACTATACTTGTATTCTTTGACAAGTAGCGGGTACATAATACATTAAGCTAAGATTTATAAGGAAATTTACACGTTCCCTGCAGCGATCAACCAAAGAACACATTTGTAAACCCCATAACAACATTATGTTCATCTTTAACAAATAAGTAGCTACAACTAATTCAAATTTTTTACTCCTCAAAACTGACCTGCTTGCTCGATGAAGAAGCGATCCACAAAAAAGAAAAAAGAAAGGTACTCTTCATCACACATTTGAATCTGGATATCACAAAGCAATTCCAACATTTCACAAGTTTAGCAAAGAACTCCTGGTCAAACTCGACCACCATATTTAGAGCACATTTGTTTCCATTTGTCCTTGAGATCAGTTGGAGTGCGAGAATGATCAAACACATGATGACCAAAGTCTAGAATTTTTCTCCACGGGGTGTTTTTGTTTACTTTGGATGAGAATTTTTGAACTCCTTCCTGCAGCCACAACATGCATAATTAACTCAGGAACTCAGGCATATCAGCAAATGAATCAGATAACTGCAAACAACAGCGACAAACCACTTTTCTGCTGACACTGCACACAGAAAACCCAGTGGGTTGCCTCAACCAATCTAGTATTTAGGCTTATGAGACTTACATTGCCACCATTCAATGCATCACAAGTGCCTTTTGAGCTTCATGAATCACTCAAAATTCTCCAGTGATGCCAATTGACATGAATAATATGAACCACTACACTATGTGCATTTACAGGCGCATCAATGTTGTCTCAATACTTCGTAAATTTTAAAAAAAGCATGTGATAATGGATTATCCGTCTCAATGGAACTGTTTTTTAACATATTTGTCCAAATAAATAATTATCATCTGTGATACGAGAGCAAGGTTACTATTTAGGATTTTTTGTTTCCTTTTCTATAAGCAGGCTTTTGTTGCACATTTTTCACAATGCAGGGATAAACAACGGGAATTTCCTTATCCCAACCAAAAAAAAACAAACAAACAGGAAGTTTGGAAAGTGCAGAATTTTACAAGGTTGATACAAACAAACAAACGGGAACTTTGTAGGATGATACAAGGTTGCCCTTAACAGAGGGTCAAGGAGGAATTATCAACATAATTTTTTTCATTTTTGCCCGTCCTATTGACTGTTTTCACTTTGCAGTTTGTGATCTCCCTTTTTTCTTCTTTTAGTTTTAAAGGTGGTGGTAAACCAGCTTGGGAAAATGGATAATTATTGCAATACGCAAGAATAACCACAAGAAACCATATATCTAAAGTCTTCTTATTCTTTCTCCATTACTTTCCCATAAGTATTTTATGCACCCTCATTTGAGCAGAATTTTACAGGAAAAGAGAGACTGAAGAGCATAAAATTAAGTCATTCCGTGCCATTGAAGCAATTATAAGAAAGTCAGTTGTTAACACCTCACACACGACAAGCCAAATCAATAACAAAGTCTGTAAGATGTCAATGCTGCACAAAACATATGGCTTTTTAAGCATAAAGAACCTTAAAAATGTTACGTTGAATTAAGGAGACAGAAGTGAATTTGCAAAAACTAGAACAAAAAAAAAAGATGAAGAAGAAGAATTGGTGGTATGAGGATAGCATTATCAAAGTTCAGTCGACTAACTTAACCCAACTACTAAATCATTGTTAATCAAGTCAGTACCTAGTAAGTCTAAAAATATAGATGTCAGCTCTTCCAACGTAAGGACACTATGTATCCTTGGCTCACACTACCGAAACAAACCTATACAATAGAGATTCCTGAAAATGTACCTCAATCATCTCTTCCTCTTCGCTACGCCATAATACTCTTCTACGTTTCCCATTTGGAAGGATATCTGGTCTGCAGCAGAAAATAAAGTTGAAATTATTGTTTGTTGAAGAATGAATAGGATAATTTGCTCAAACTTAAAAGAAATTTCATTGAAAAGATCACTTACAACATGGAAGGGTGTTTAACTTGCACAAACATGCCCGCTGCATTACCATTCTCAAGTAAGGAAGCTGATTTCCTAGTTAACATTCTTGGAGGGTCAGTCATCATATGCTCATCTTTAACTTTCTTAACCCGTTTACCACACTCACGTTGTGTTGAAACACGCTTAGATTCTCCACATGTTAAATCTGCAGTTTCAGCTCTTCTTTTACCATGCAAGTGCTGCTGCAACGAAGGATCTGTGTATATGACAATTGCAGTAGTTTGATCAACCTCTGTCATCTGTTCTCCTGCAATTTCAGTGGAGTTTCTTTTTGGTTCTTCCAGAACAAGTTCATTCCCTAATAATTCCTCTTCAGCAACAGAAGAGTTACTTAAGTGGCCATCTTTGTGGTGATCTTCAACACTTTTCTCTAGTTGGTGTTCACCAACTTCTTGTAGATCATTTACCTGAATGCCGTTTCCAGCTTCTAAAACTCTAAAATTGGTTGATGCTGCTTTAGAAGATGTACGAACACTAGGTTTACTACCACAATTAACAGCTGGGCCTGCATGTATTTTCTGCCCAACCACCCATTGTTGATCACAATTGCTTTCTGGAACATCACTCTTCTTTTCTGGTAATGGCTCATCAGATCTTTCACGTGTTGATTTGCTTACTATTAATGGCACTTCTCTGACCTTGTCTATCATTTCCTTGTCTATGAAATCATCCAGAGCTTGTTTTTTTGACAAAACATACACCTTTGCTTGATGAAATCTTGCAATTGATTGCCTATACAGACAATAGGGGCAATAGAATTTTCCCAAATCATCAAATCTGGCTGGACAACCCATGCACCTTACATGAACTGCTATAGGACAACAACTATCAGCACAAACCAACACTTCTCCACCTTTATCACATTTTATACAAATTTCTTTCCCCGATGGGCTCATTTGTTCCAACACTTTTTTCTTTCTATACCCTCAATGTTTCCATAGGAATTAACACATAGTATCACCAAAGAAGCAGCTTCTTGTTGATGTTTCTACTTTCTAGTACTAACTTAATAGATGATTCTCAATAGCTACTGATGAATCAACCATCCAACCAGAGTCCACATCAAATCAGGGTTTGCTTCAATCATAGACATGGAAAAACTCCATAAGTCACAGTGAGATCATCTTCCTCTCTTCTAAGAATTCCACGATTAACATCAGACAAAGCATACAAATATATAAGTGTTGACAAAATAGTCACTAATTAACTTAAACTATAGCTCACTCTCTGATAATTAATGACCAATGGTATATGAAATTAGAGACTGCGTTCTTTTTAAGTTTAATATACTTAAACTATAGCTTAATCCTTGTAATGCATCTTTCCCTTTAATTCTTCAGAAGCTCAAAATCCTAAATATCAAACCTATATTCTTCAGAACTAGGAGTATTAAACAATTCATAATTTCAGCTCCGTTCTTAATAATAGTGCAGAGTTAAACTAAGACCATTAAAACCGGAGAGACAGAGTAACAAAGCAATGCTGATCTCAAGCTAGAACTAAAATTTACAGTGAAATTCAAATTAATTTATTTCAAACTATACACTTAAACAGTAAGAAATTGAAATACGTTCAACCGTTCAATCTACTATGTTTCAATCCAAGTATCAACAGTCAGACTGTTTTTAATTTTTACTACAGAAAATATAAATAAATTCAATTTTTTGTTAGGATAATTCATAAAAATATAACACATACGAACTAAAGCTCTCTTCAAGCACGAACAGATTGAAACAACCTACAACTTGTAATCTACCCGTAAAAAGTATCGGAAATTGAGCTTCTTCTCAGCGATATAGAAATAATCAGCTAGAGCGAGAAAATCGGAGAGAGAGTGAAGAGAACTTACCGGTGGTATCACCGGAGTAGAACCACCGAGAGGAATTCGTCGAGCCTACTGTTACTGCAAATCGCTCAATTCAAATTAAAGTTGGCAGGCCGAAATTTGGGCCAGAATTCGGTATCCTTTTGGTACCTGTGGGCCGTGAGAGCCCAATCACGTAGAATATGGGCAAAGTGCACGTATAGCCGATTTTGGGATTACCATTTAAATCATAATCATTATTTATAGGATTAATTACAGAAATCCCACTTTTTAGTTTACTTATTACCATTATCCCCTATAAGTTTTACAAATCTCCAAAATCCCTCATTTTCACGCATCAGATTAGTGTATCTCGCGCATCAGATTAATGTATCAGCGCATCAGATTAGTGTATCTCGCGCATCAAATTAGTGTATCATGTATAAAATGTAATGTATCTTACTTAACGATTAATGTATCTCGCGCATTAGATTAATGTATCAACGCTTATATTATTGTATTCGTTTGAGGGATTTCTGTAATTATAAACTTTAAAGGGATAGACTGTAATTTTGCCTTAAAAGTATGTGATTTCTGTAATTTGCCCTTATTTATAAACTTAACCCGAAACTTCTGGCTGACGCGATTGAAGTATAAATATTTGTATATCAAGTTCGACTTCTAGACATGTATGTCCAAAATTGGGCGTACTTTTTCTTTTGAAGTAATCTTCCCCCTTGATTTACACTTAAATTTTCATATTTAAAATTTAAAATTCACTTCTTCAATATTGTAGTAATAGTAATTTTAATATTAAAAGCTTTTACCTGATTATGATTATAATTTAAAAAAAATATGATTACGTCTTCTTACATGACACCGTACAAATAGAGTATGGAGTGAAATTACTTCGAAATGATACGATGTGACTACTTTTAGCTAGCTTGTAAAATTCTACTTAATGTAATAATTTTCAAGCTTATAACAAAGACATCACTTTCTTTTGTTTTATTTATGTGGACTCTTTCAAATATGAGTGAAGCTGAACATATAAACGATCTAGCTTTCGGGCCCAGCCCAAGAAATTTAAGCAGGAATATGTGGGTCATTTGATTTGCCGACTTTTTTTGTGGTAGTCTTTAATTCACGTCCTTCGTAAAAAAATATAAAAATAAGTTTATAGGTCATAAGATTATAGTTTCGTATCATTATATCACACAAGTTATATTCAAATATGACTTTAATTTTTATTTAAATATACGTTTTACCAAGTATAAATTCAATTACTAAAAGACAAAAATTAAAGATCAGACCATTTTTTTAAAAAAAGCGTGTGAATTTATGAGAATATATACCTTTCCTCAAAGTCTTGTAAACTTTTACAAAGCCAGCTTTCAATTACCTTTGCATCTGCTGTAAATTTCCACAATAATAGCTACAAGGAAAAATTAATTAAAGGTCTTTTGCTTAAACAATAAGTTCTTGTAGAATATTATTGGTAGTGACATGACTTGACCCCTCATCTATCGTGAATATGTCAATCGATCTTTAATTTTGATAGACAAAATTATTTTAATTTTTATATTAATGAGAAAAACCAAATTAATAGAAAAAGTCAATAAATGAATATGTACATCAAGTTGAAACCTACATCTGTTATTAAATAAGATTTACTCCCTCTGTTTAAAAAAAAATGACCTTCTTTCATTTTTGGTCAGTTTAAAAAAGAATGATCTCTTTCTCTTCTTGGAAACATTTTAGTTTCATCTTTCCACGTGGCATGTTTAAGGCCACAAGATTAAAGGATAATTTTGTACATTTGACATAACTTTAATTCAAGACCGCAAGATTCAAAAGTCTTCTTTATTTTCTTAAACTCTGTGCCAAGTCAAACTAGACCTTTTTTTTTTAAACGGAGGAAGTAATAGTTTAGTATGAGGAGTCGAGCAGGGTTAGAAGTTCATTTGAATTTCTTTTATGTGAAAATTTATTTTATTTATGCATAGTTAATATTTTGTTTTATATATAATAGATATTGAATCTCATTGGATTAATTTATGTATTTACTTCTTTATATTCTGAAGAAAGAAGTATTGAAAACACTTTTATACTCTATGTAAATTATTAGTTTCATCTGAACTATTCATAGTCTTAAAAACACCCTTTTACTTGACTTACTTAACTTAAATACACCCTGATCTTGCAACATAAGTGAAATACAACCCTAAATTCTCAGAAAGTTTTGGATTACTTTCAATACTTCTCTCAATTTTTTATTCAGAGCCCATATTCTTATTAAAGTTTCAGACCATTTACTATATCATATGATAGATTAGTGATGTATGTAAGTTTAGTAAAATACGTAGAATTAAGAATGTTATTAAGGCGATCAATATTTCAGGACAAAATAAATAATTTGCATCAAATTCAGTATTTTCAATACTTCTAAAATTATTTAATGAAAATTTTGGTTCCGCCACAATTTAGTAACACCTGTTGACATTGGAGTTTGATCTTCCAAAGGCTATGATGCTTTGTTATTTCTGATCCATCAATAACCAACTATACCAACCGCCCCTTTCTCTCACCATTTTGTACCGTAAGCTACGCCAAAGCAACATAAAGAAACTAAGACAAAAAGGAAAAAAAAAAGTTTCAATCTTTGACAAAGACAGAGGAAAATAAGTGTAAAATTGTGCAAAGAAAGAAACTTTGGTTGCAGTGAAAAAATAAAATCCCTTGTGAAGATTCTTTAATTTTGTTTGACAATAAATCAAAAGAGAACATGCATATCACGAATTGGGTTTTCTAGCACAATTTGTTGACCTTTACAGGTAATAAATATTCTTTTTTTGGTAAATTAATCTGACCCATAAGCCTTTCTTGATATTTATTGATCTTTTGCTGATTGAAAAAAAAAATTAATTTTTTTTTTTTTGGGTTTGAATTTTTATTGGCAGCTAGTTATGCAAATGGTTGGAGATGGAAATTTTTCTGTTTTCTCAGCTGAGCAGAATAATTAGTGGATGGCTAAAGATTCACAATTTTCAGGGGGAAAATCCCATCTTGAAGTGAGTTTTTCTTCCCTTCTCCTAATTAGTGGACAAGTTATATGGTCCTTCCTGCCTCCTGTACAATAGACTCTTGTGGTTTGGTCGCACGGAAACTTAGTGCACCGGATCATTGTTATGTTAATTTAGAAAAAAATTATGATTATGAAGAGCAAATTGATGTTAAATAAATCGAATTCCTTGTTAGTTTGCCATTGCACAACTTGGAAGGTTTTATGTTTTCTATCCTTGCTAATCATTCATTGACATTCTATTAACCTAAGTTGCTCGGACTCGGGTGTGGATTCTAGAGATTGTATTCTTAATGATCTAAATTTTAAGATTCGGAGACACATGTGCAGTGATTCTGCTAAAAATAATTAAAATATCTAAAAATATAGTTATATAACCTAAATTATGAGATATTATGTGGAAAACTTGAGGAGGAAATATTGATCAAGAGGAGAATCTCTAAGGAGATAAAAGGAAAATGAAAGAGAAATTTATATATATAAGGTATTCCATTTTCTTCAATTTCACCTTAGCTTTTCTTTTGATTAAATCTGTCTGGAATTTCTCCGTTGATTTTAGTCAAAGTACCCAAAATAGGTAGACTAGATCGGGTACGGATCCCACACCCACACCCATGTTGTGTCAACATGGGTGTGACACCAAAAGTGAAGAGTCCGAGCAACTTAACTATTAACTACCTTCTCTTTCTTGTCCTTTTGATAAATCAAATTAATGTTTATTCATTGAATGCACCAAGTCGGTGTGAAAAGTATGAACAAGGCGAATGAGTGGCTCGATTTGAGGAACTTTTCTTATGCTTGTGAAATAACATTATATTTTTCTGTCTATTTTAGGATTCTAGTCTGCATAGTGACCAAAAATATCATAGAGGCTACACCTTTTGGCCTTCTTTTATCTTATTCTAATGAAGGAATGCTGGCTAAACAGATGGGATCACTAGAAGGAAGAGCGGTACTTCAGCTTGAGGATGAGAATCTTGTGGACTCTAAGCATAATGATAGGAGGACATCTTCTATGGATGCCACTCCTCAAATATCCGTTTTTGATACCGATACAGATGATGTCAGTTGTAAATGTATGTGGAATAGTATACTAAGGCAGATGCACATAGTTTTGTTCTCCAAGAAGTTAAACCTACTTATTCCGTGCGGTCCTTTAGCAATGCTTGTTGATACGCTAACTGATCATCATGTAAGTTGCAAAACTGTTTCCAGTCCGGTATCTTTTATTCATAAAAGAGCTTAATTACTCACATTACTTTTCTCTTGTTCTTTTCTTTTCTGTTATGACTTTTTCAGGGATGGATCTTTTTTCTTAGCTTGTTAGGAATCATACCCCTTGCAGAGCGTTTAGGTTGGGCGACGGAGTAATTCTCTAACTCAGTATCTACAGTACTTTGTATGAGCCGTACATTTAGGATCAAGGGGAATGCATTTGTTGTTGGCAAAGGACTTGTCACCGTTTAATTTAAAATTTCAGAATTAGTGTCTATTAATGACAATAAAATGGAAGTTTGGGCTACAATGCATTTACACTTATTCATGCTCCTATTTAGCTGTATGGATAATTTGGAAAATGTATAGCTTTTAAATTATGGTCTCTATTAAGTTGATGACATGGAACTTTGTATTTGAACAATAAGCTGAAGGTGATGATTTATGTAACTTAAAAGCTGTTTATAGTATTTACACTTCTCATAATTGATGTTTTTTTGGTTTTCCATTTATGTAGGCAGCTGGCTTTCTATACAGGGCCAACAGGTAATTTCTTCATATCATTGATGTACGTACGTAATTTTCATATACTTGACTCAAAGGTCAATTTTCTTCTGTAACTTTGCAGTTGGAGGACTTCTAAATGCAACTTTTGGTAACGCAACAGAGCTAATAATATCAATGTATGCACTGAGAAGGGGTATGATTCGTGTGGTTCAACAGTCATTATTAGGATCAATACTGTCGAATACGTTACTAGTGCTTGGATGTGCATTTTTTGCCGGTGGAATTGCTCATTCCACTAAGGACCAGCTTTTTGACAAGGTAGATTATATCATTATGCTACCATATCTATATGACCCGAAAATCAATATCAGTTTAGTTCAAATTGTATCTCACGACCACGATAGCAAGTCATGACATTCTCAGAGTTTTCATTGTCAGGGAAATGCAGTGATGAATTCAGGGTTGCTTCTGATGGCAGTGATGGGCCTACTGTTCCCTGCTGTCCTCCATTTTACACACACCGAGTTGCATTTTGGGAAGTCAGAACTGGCACTTTCCCGGTTTAGCAGCTGCGTAATGCTTGTAGCATATGGTGCATACCTGTTTTATCAGCTGACTAGTCAGAATAGTCTTTACATGCCTCTTGCTGAGGTTGGGGTTCTTTATTCTCACTGCACTTTTTTGTGTTTAATGTTGCTGACACTAGATACAGAACTGGTTGTTGAAACTGGAAAATAAAAAGTTTTGGTCATTAGAATCGCTTAAGCCTTACTTCTCCTGTCAAATTTTCTGATAGTATTTCCGTAAGAGTAGCCAATGCATCTGGTAATCTGAAAGTCAAAATTTCCTCACTTGCCTGAGATAATTCTTTTTGTTTCTAAGCTCCCAATAAATTTGGAGAAGCAGATACTGGATTCCTTCTTATTTTCTCTTTTCTGCCTTAAACACTCGACCAATGAACTGTATCTGCATATAAAATGATGATATGGAATATTATGCAGTCTTCTGAACATTCTATCAATGAGGAAACCAAAAGGTCCTACAATTGTTAAGTTCCCTCTTCAAACCATCCTTTATCCCACACAGGCTAGGCTGATCAATACATTTATTAGCTACATTACTCTTCCATTGAGTTTGCTCAGATTCCCTAAAAGTTTAATAAAATTCAGGAAGAGGGTGAGAATGACGAGAGCCTAGAAGAGGAAGAAGCCCCCGAGATATCAAAATGGGGGTCAATTATATGGCTTTCGATTTTGACACTATGGATCGCAGTCTTGTCAGAATACCTGGTTAATGCCATAGAGGTAATTTCTTTGTCCTGCTATTTATTCTCATTTTCCGATTTCCATACTTTGGCATTCTATTAATAGAATCATATAATTATCAATAACTTGAGAATCGTTTCTAGTCTGTGTTCTCTATCTTTGACATATATAAGTAGCCTAAAACAAACTAAAAAATATTGCCTTTTGAGTTTCTCTGCCAACAAATTACGCTATGTTTTCAGGGGGCATCAGTTGCTATGAGTATTCCTGTGGCATTTATAAGTGTCATACTGCTCCCGATTGTTGGAAATGCAGCTGAACATGCTGGTGCTGTCATGTTTGCAGTCAAAGACAAGCTTGTACGTTCTTCTATCTTTTCTTTGTATTAAAACTATGGTTTACCATCCTTTTTCTTCACATACCTGGTGCCGTTACAGGACATCTCTTTGGGAGTGGCAATAGGCTCATCAACACAGATTGCCATGTTTGGGGTAGGTACTTCAAAATGTTTATGCATGTTAATTACATCAAAGAGAAACTTTAAGAAGTAACTTGAATAGCTTCAGATTGGACGTCTCATTCAGGAAGACTCTACCATTAGGCATTAGCTGGGAAGACTCTACCATTAGGCATTAGTTGTAACTGAATATAGATGCACAATCTCATATTTTATCCGCCTTTACTTCCTGGACCATCACATAATAACTTCCACTGATATTTTTTCTTGCAAGTTTATTCCTCTTTTAACCTTTACTTTGATGCAGATCCCCTTCTGCGTGGTGGTTGGATGGATTATGGGTCGTCCTATGGATTTGAACTTCCAGTTGTTCGAAACGGCCACGCTTTTCATGAGTGTCCTCGTAGTAGCATTTATGCTGCAGGTATGCTCTTAAACTAGATAATTCATAAGTCTTTCTGGTTCTACTTTTTTCCCATTTCTCTGAGTATTACTTTTGTCTTGTTGGCTTCTATCTCGTCTTTTAATTTAGAGGTTGAGGTTGGGGAAAACGTAAAACTTTCTCGTCTTTCCAAACTGCTTGAAAATTACAACATAAACCAATGTATTTCTTCTAAAAGTTGAAAGCTCTGCAAGTTGAAGTCGGAGCCTGATCCAGTTAAAGTAATGTCATGTCTCCTTTTCCTCCTCAATCCTTTGTTCTTTGCTTCACTCCCGGGGTTCTGGTTGAAATTTAGTTTACAAGGCTTCCTGTTGTTGACCATTAGTTTTCATGTTAACATTTCCTCTTTCTGCAGGACGGAACTTCCAATTACTTTAAGGGACTGATGCTCCTTCTCTGCTATTTGATAGTCGCTGCAAGCTTCTTTGTGCATATAGATCCAGAGGCTATACGTGAGTTGTATTCTCTTCGTGAAATTACTATATGGAAGCTCATGATCTTTGATTTATACACTCTTTTGGTGTCCGTTTTAACTGATAATATCTGTTATTGTCACTGTTATTCTATTCTCTTCTGTTTTGCTTTTGTTCAGTTCTTGAGCACTTCTTCTGCAGTTAAATAAAATAACTGGTTAACCATTTTTGGTCTTGTCAAATGTAACTTTTAGTTGGGATATACAATTCTTTGGATTCTGAAACACTTCGCAAAATACAGAAAGAATGAATTAAAGCAGAATATGGCGAAAACTTGTTTTGGAGTGTTATGAATTCATTACTGATTTTTAGTTAGGCACACACACACACATAGAATGACATGCAAACTTTATAAGTAGCAAAAAACTCCATAATTATGAGGAAGCGTTAAGTGAATTGAAGTAAGATGTACATGTCTTGAGCCTCTGGAACTAGAAGAAAACATCGTCCATATTCTTGTTCAAGTTTACATATAAGTCGTGCCACTGCTCATCTCAGAGACTCAGACAATGAACTGATTAGGAAATCTAAGGTGAGAAATAGCATCCAAGTAAGAGTTTGAAAAGATCGGACAGCTGCACACTTGGTTTTCCTCATCTTTTATGACATGTTAGATGGAACAACAAATGAAACAAGTCTGTCATGTATGTGTATGTCTACTGGATACAAAACCTTTATTTTCTTGAACATTTTCTCTGTTTTTCCTTGTGTCATCCATACGGGGTACAATATGCACCTTTATAATGGTTAGTTACAACTTGCTCGATTTTATTTGACTTCATGATGTTGATTAATTAACTATTGCTTTGTTGGATACGTCGTTTTGATTCTAATACAATACAATGTATCGTTGCTTTGCAGAGGACAAGCCCAAAAAAACATAATAGGTAACCCGTCGTGGTTTCAGATCATGTAGACCTGCTAAAGCTGAAGGGCAATAATACAAATTAGAGTTGCATATATATATATATATATATATATAAAGACCCATTTCTTCAAGTTTTGGCCACTCTGAGTTGTATATATTAACAACAATTCATCTGTTGATGATGCTCAGAGTTCTGTATTACTACCATCTGTTCAGTTGAGAAGTATATGCTGTTTTCTCAGTTTTGTGTGGCAGCTGCTGATTTATAAAAAAAATCGCCTCGAAAATTGCTGGATAGTAAAGAAATTTTTGTGTTATATATTACTAGTAGGAAAAAAAAATCTTGTCAAAAGCAGAATGTATTGTTTTTGACGATGTATCATGAAAGTTAAATCATTCATTGATGACTTTGTAATTTGTATATCTAAATGAATTTTTTTTGCTTTTGTAGTTTCACCAAAAAAGAATTTGTAGAAAGCAAATGATGTATATCTTTTCTGTACATATTGATTGTGTAGGTAAGTGAAAGTCCATACTAAAGATTATAAAATAAAAATAATATTGAAAAAGTAAAAATGATAAAGGTTGATAATATAGAAGATAAAATAGGCATTTTGGTCGGTTGAGTGATCTTCTGAGTGATAAATATATACATAAGTGATTTTTTCGCTACAAGCAAAAAAACACGACTTTGTTATATATATATATATATATATAAATTAAATCACTCTAATGTTACGGTCATCGATCGGGCTAATTCTTGATAATACCAAGTAAACAATTTTGAAAATTAAGTTAATTAAACACAAATGGTCAACTCATACGAAAAGGCAACATGCCAAACATTATGACAATAGGCCTATATAAATATATATATATATATATATATAAACTTACCAAGAGATTAATAAGAAGCATAACAATATCTGTAGATATATATAATTACATAAAGTAGAAATATAAATATGGCACGATTCTACGGTGTGAGAGATAGCGACTCAGAGCTTGAGGGCTCGGGGCTGATGATAATGGTGGGAATGATCGTTATGTCTGTTGTAATGATTTCTATGATCATTTTTGCTTGTGGGGACTCCTCTGATGGCGATGATTGGTACCATCGTGGAGGTGGAGGAGACGGTGGAGGTGGTGGAGGCGGAGGGTGTGGTGGCGGCGGTTGTGGTGGTGGAGGAGGTGAATAGAGTCTTCTTGTTGTTGTTGTTGTTGTGGAGTCAATAGCTTGTTCTTGGATATATATTGATTATCTTTATGTTGTGAAGAATAGTTCATTTACGCTTTTATTTGTACATAATCGATTTTAAATTGTAATCAGTAACAGATGAACAATATAATTAAGTAATCGATTTATATGAATCCAACATTTTCAATATGGAGTATATAACTATTGACTTCTCTCTTTACAATTTTCTTTTATTAGGTAGAATGTCTCTCTTTTGCATTTTACTTTTCCCCCACATATTTCTAGGATATAAATTAAGGGAATTAAGGAAAGTATAAATAAACTAAGAAAGTGTCTATTGTAAATAGTAAATATTGATTACTTCCTTTGTATAGTTCCTTTATTTTATTTCAAGTTCCTTCTTCCATATGTAATCATGTACATGTGTAACCAATATATTGAATATAGTTTTTTTCATATTAAAGCAAGAAGCAACTAGTTTTAATAAGTTTTGTATGTATCCCTAAATAACAAGGGTTGAATAAGCCCGATAAATAAAATAGAAATTTTTAATTAAAGATGTGTACGTCCTGATCAAAAGAAGTTTGAACAAATTAAACAACCAAATATTAATTAGTTCATCTTAATTATGGACCAAATTAAGTGCAACTTCCTAGAAAAATATTGTGTATCCATATTGATTACGAAGTTTTAGGTTGACAAAGGGAAAGCAAACTACCCTCATTTCATATTTATGCTCTCCAATTTTGAGTGTGCACAAGTAGACACTTAAACTTGTATAAAGTTGAACAAGTAGACACATGAGTTCTACGTGACATAATACACATAGGACACAAATTATCATATAGGATGTCATGTGAGACGTGTGTGTTTATTTGCTCAACTTTATACAAATTTAAGTATCTACTTGTTCACACTCAAAATTGGAGGACATACATTTTAATTAAAGCCAAGTTAAAGAATATATATTTATGTATTATGCCTTAAATTTGCAAGTCTTCAATTCGATCCATTCCTAAACATATAATACAACAATATAAAAAAAATAAAAGTGTAACAATGGATTATTGTTGTTGTACGACGTGAGAGTTGAAACCCATTTTTGGTATGTAGATTATACATTTTTCACAATGGATTGATATATTCCATTTGATTCGATTTGCATCAACAACATAACATACAAGTGCAGTATCGAGTTTTGGTATAATAACAACATATTTTGTGAAAGTTCATACTGCGGCTAGTCAAGAGAATCGATCAAAATATTTTTCGAATGATATCAGCAAAGAAAGTTTGAAAATTCCAAGAAATTAAGACGTGAATATATTAATAGCAGTAGTAGTCATGTTGGAGCCTAGCTCAAGCAACTTAAACAATTTCTACCAAATCAAATTAACATATACATGTCTTTCTTATGAACTTAATTAATTAATTGCAACTTCGTTGAAGTTAAACGTTACGAAAAGTCTACAACTCATACATCAAAAAGGGCCTATATAAGAAATTGTACTTTTCCTTCGATCACTAGATTAATTTCTTGCATAGAATTGACTAAAGTCTAAATATGGCGCGATTCTACGGTGTGGTAGGTGCTGGCTCACCAATCGAGGGTTCGGGGCTGATGATAATGGTGGGAATGGTTGTTATGTCTATTTTAATGATTTCTATGGTCATTTTTGCTTGTGGAGACTCCTCTAATGGGAAAAAGAAGCATCGGTTTTATAGAGGTGGAGGTGGAGGTGGTGGTGGTGGTGGAGGTTGTGGTGGTGGTGGAGGCTGTGGTGGTGGTGGTGGTGGATGCTGAGTTAAAATAATTAATTCTTGTGTTTGTGGAGGAGTCAAGAGGTTAGTATAAATAAACTTTTCAGTTTTCATATTATTAGGTTACTCAAAAGATATACACGGAGAATATTTACAAAATGTGAAACTTGGTAATCTTAAAAATAAGATAAATTACGAGTAATATATAACAAATAAATGTGATTTGATGCTTTAATCTTTATATATACATTACATGTACATGTAATTAATGTTCTTATAAAATGATGTTTTTGTTCTTAATTATAGGTTACACCCTGTTTCTTAATTCTCGCTTTATTGTTTTTGTTTTATTACTATATGTTTTTTTACACTGAGATTGAGTACTTTAATTTAGCTTTAATAATATTGGGGAAGAAAAACAAACAAACATTTTAACTCCGATTAGAAAAGGAAAAAAAGAACACAAATTAACCATAGAAACTTAATTAAGATAAGTTAGAATAACTTATTTGCATATAAGAACGAGCAATCTAGTGTATGCTAAAAGAGTATAGTAAAGTTGCATTACGAATATTTATATCTCGGATAAAAAAAATGCATGTGACAAAATAAAAAAAAAAAAATGGTTTAGAAATAATTAGCTATTAAGAGCAGCTTGAAACTGGGGGGACATGAGGTGATTAGACGGGAGGTGCGAGAGGTATTGGTTGTAGCACGAATAAAGAGAGGTAGGTCAAAAAAAGAATTGAGAAGACCTGATTATACATGAGATGATTTAATTTTTCGCTGATGGAGGACATGATCTTAGATAGAAAGGTATGAAAGTCGAAATTTAAAGTAGAAGATTAGTAAGTAGATGAGTGTTGTTTCATTCTATGTGGGAGAGGGAGTGAGCTAGCCTCCTCCCCTCGTCCTTTTAGCAATATTATATTATTTAGTTATCACGTCTTATATGATTGTTATGTCTGTTGTAATGATTTCTATGATATTTTTTCTCGTAGGAACTCCTCGATAGATTGGTACAATTATGGAGGTGGAGGAAGCGGTGGCGGTGGTACTGGAGTGGTGGCAGTTGTGTTTGTGGTGAATAAACTCTTGTTGGTGTTATTGCGGAGTCAATAGCTTGTTCTTGGATATATATATATTGATTTTATAGAGTCCAAGTATTGTGTACATATATATGTAATCCATTGTTTTTAGATTGTGAAGGTTCTTAATAAAACTTTACATTTATTAATTAGTAGTATAAAGTTGAGAGTGATTCAAAAGGACAATAAAATAATTAATTTCGATATGGGGTATAAAATTATTGATTTCTCTCTTACTAAATATAATAAAAGAATATAAAAAGAACAAAAACTAAAGTATAGACTGTATAGTAATGTAAGTACTCTCATGAGAGTTGAAACACACTTTTAATATGTAGTTTATTTTCATCTTTTTACTAGCGGATTATACAAGCTGATTCATATTTGATTCAACCTTTTTTTTAAAAAAAAAAAAGTTTTAAAAAAAGGTTATCCAACTCATTTCTTATTAATACTAAAAAGAATAATAATTTGTTTAGTTTTATATTTAGTAATAATTTAATTTCAAAATTCTCAATTTACTTTTATAGTTGCAAAAATTATTTGAATTATTTTAAGCAATAAATTTTGAAAATATTGTTTACATTTTAAAGTCAATGTCAAATAGATAAATACCACCATGGAAGAAGTGGTCAATGCCGAATATTTTTTCTATGCTGAATACCAACGATTGAAAACATACTTCGATGTTGAGTTAACCTACATTCACATGTTATCGATTGATCATAAATATTTAATCAAATTTACATTAAGGTGTGTTTTAATATTGAAAAATGATAGTTAAACTATAAGTAACTGATAAAAAGAACAATGAATAATCAAGATATGAACTCGGAAAAATAAATAAATGATTTATATGTATTTTTGACTATTACTAATTCTTAAATCAATTCAATAAACTGGTCATAACCCCTAGTTTGAACGTGTAAACACCAGACGTGCAAGCTTAAAGTCTCTGATTCCTTATATAGTACTTTTTCCGTTCCTTTTTAATTGTCATGTTATACTTTTTAAGAGTTAATTTGAGTAATTTTTAAAATTAAATTAAATTATATTAATTCAATAATTTAAAATAAAAAATTAGATATTCAAAAACTATATGAAAAAGTATTATAACTTGCAATTTTTTCCAAATCAATATGATAAAACAATACATTTAAAATGTTAGTCAAAGTTCATATTGTTTGATTCTAAAAAAAGAAACTATGACAACTAAAAAGAAACAGAGAGACAGATAAAAGTCAACCAGATTTTTAATTATCCATCGATCGGACTATTTTTTTTTTCCAATAATACCAGCAAACAATTTTTGACCAAATGAAAGTACATCTTTTTTATGAAATTGCAACTCATTGAGCTTTACTAAAAGTCTACAACCCAAACATCACAAAAGGCCTATATAAGAGATTAATTTAGCAGCAGCATATATAAGTATTTCACATAGAATTTATTAGTAAATTTCAAACAAAAATATGGTGCGATTCTATGGTGTGGTAAATGATGGCTCACCAATCGAGGGTTCTGGGCTAATGATAATGGTGGGAATGGTTGTTATGTCTGTTTTAATGATTTCTATGGTCATTTTTGCTTGTGGAGACTCCTCTAACGGAAAAAAGAAGCGTTGGGGAGGTGGAGGAATTTATGGAGGTGGAGGAGGCGGTTGTGGTGGTGGTGGTGGCGGATGCTGAATTTTATAATTTTTTGTATTTGTGGATCGAAGGAGTCGAGAGTGTATTATTGAATATATAATTTATCTTGAGTCCATGATATAAAATTTAAGTTTTATATATATATGTTACTAATAAAACATGAAATTTGTAATCGTGAAAATAACAGCAAGTAAAAGGTGATTTAATGCTTTATGTATACGTTAAACCATGTTATGTTCTCATATGGTGATGTTTCTTTCCTTAATTATGTATAGGTTACTTTCTGTTTCTTCCAGCTATATCATATTTTTATATTATTATTACTATTATGCGTGATATATATACGTTCCATTTTGACTCGAAAGTATATTAAAATTAAATTTTCTATCTCATAAAAATATGATAAAGTCTATATATGTCATATCTGGCTCAAACTCCACTAATAAGATTAGGCATCATGAAACTATTTTCTTTATTAACTAAAAAAATATAAAATATACATTTACAAGAAAGCAATTAAATGAAGCTTCTTATTACGTAATATCAATCATTTGTAATTATAGATGATGTATCATTATTTATCGACTATTAATTTGATGAACAATTATACAAAATTATGCCATTAAATATACATTAATTTCTTCGCTTATATGTCCAAAACAAATTGAGATTCATTATAACATAAATAAACTTTCACTAATCATATTTTTTTCAGTTAAATTCATCTAGAAGGCCAAATACTAAACAAATTAAAAATAAAGTGAAGGTCAAATACTTTAACTAGGACCAAATTAAAGTCACCCTCTTGGTCCTTGGATATTAATTTTTACACTAGACTATAATAAACTAGATTAATCTAGGGCGATCAAAGTCATAATTAAGAAAAGTCAACAGGCCAAACTTTATTAAAGGCCTATAGATAAATTTGCTAATTATTTAAGAGATTGTAATTTCCTTTGATCATGAGATTAATTAGCTATTTCTGAAGAGAAATAGTAATTAAAGTCTAAACAAAAATATCTATATGGCGTGGTCCTATGGTGTGAGAGATGGTGGCTCAACGTTTGAGGGCTCAGAGCTGATGATGATTGCGGGAATGATTTTTATGTCTGTTTTAGTGATTTCAACGGTCATTTTTACTTGTGGGGACCCCTCTAACAGCATAAAGGAAGACGATGGTGATGGTAGTTGTGGAGGCGCGTGTGGTGGATAATTGTGAATTAGAAGTCAAAGTAATATCAGCAAAAAATAACTTTAATTTGTATGCATGAAGTCTCCAAGAACATAATGATCTTTCTCTAGATTGTAAAAGTTCTTATAAAACTTTGGAGTAATGTCCAATATCATATTCTTGTTTTTTAATTTGATAAATAGTGTATTATGTATATATATAAATTAATTACTCTTTAAATTACTTGCTTAAGATAATTTCCACTTCTTTCATTTTAATTATGCACCAAATTGATACGTATCGATCTCTCTTTTCACTTTAAATTACTTGCTTAAGATAATTTTCTACTTCCTTCGTACGAATCGATCTCGACCTCTTTTCACTTTTGGAGGGGGATAGGAAAGAGAAAATAAGGCATCTAAGGGTGTGTTCGGTACAAATGAAAATGATTTTTATGCAAAAATGTATTTTAGGAAAATAGGGGATCTTTTTATTTATTTTCTTGTGCTCCGAATGTAAGCAAAAAAATATTATTCTAAAAAACAATTTGTATATTATAATTTTGATAGATACGATGAGAAGTGGGGTAGGGGTAAGAGTATGCAGGGGATGAAGGCTAAGAGGTGGCCGGAGTTGAAGATCATGTACGTGTAGGTGGATGAAAAGGACATAATTAATGTGAAATATATATCACATTGTTAGGATCATAGATTAGGTTAATTCTCAATAATATCTGAAGTAAACAAGTTTGAAAATTAAGTTATTTAAACATTAATAATGACCAAATCAAAGTCGTCCTCTTGGATAAAATATAATGAAAAATTGAAACTTCGTAGAACTACACTATAGTTTCTATATTATTAAGTATAATTAGATTAAATAAGGGTACCTAAACGAAGTTATATTAATTACTAATAGTCAACTCACACGAAAATCCAAATATATATCATGACAATAGGCCTATATATATAAACTTGTTTAGAGATTTTTTTCCTTGGATTATATATGATTAGACTAATTAGAAGCATATAACTATTTCTTCAGATAATTACATAAATTAAAGTCGAAACTAATATAGTAAATGGCACGATTCTATGGTGTGGGATCAGATGGTGGCACAACACTTGAAGGCTCGAGCTTAATGATAATGGTGGGAATGATTATTATGTCTGTTTTAATGGTTTCTATGGTCATTTTTTGCTTGTGGGGACTCCTCCAACGGTGAAAAGGATGACGAATTGGTACTATCGTGGAAGTGGAGGAGGCGGTGGTGGTTGTGATTAAACTCGTCTTGTTGATGTGGGGTTAATAGCTCGGTTTTGAATATGTTTTTTCTTTATTTTTGTAGATTCAAGTCCAAGTAAAAAAACAATGTTCCTTTCTTCAGAAAGATTGATAGTACTATTCCCACTTATCCGTTAGTACGACTCAAACTATCAATTAATTTACTGATGAAGGTACTTAACCACTAGAAGAGTAAGTCTCACTTGTCTGAATCTAAGTAATATGTACATATGCAATTGAATATTAACTTCGCATATGGAGTCTCCGAAGAAAATTACCACTATATCTCTAGATTGTGAAAATTCTCAAAAAAACTTTGCACTTAATAAAGTTGAGGCTCGTTCATTTACGCTTTAATTTGTAATATGTAATCGATTATAAAACATGTAGTAGATGGACAATATAATGTAAGTAATTCTTTCATAAGAATTCAATATTTTTGACGAGTATAGAAATATAGTGAAAAACTTATTAAAATGAAAGTAGTTTCTTTTATCATGCATCATGAGGTAAAAATAAGATATACATTACACTTTGCTCTTAGTTCAAACTCCACCGATAAAATTTTACTGTATTTGTTGTTGATATGAAGTCTCTAATTTTTTTATAGTGGAGTAATAAAATAATAAATCTGGACGACAATGTAAGAGAAAAATCTAGCAGATTTTTAATCATTATCCATTATAATTTTTCGAATGATACCAGAAAATAAGTGTGAAAATTCCAAGAAAGACATGAATATATTCGTAGTTACGTTGAAGCGTAGCTCAAGTAACTTAATTAAAGCAATTTTGACCAAATCAAAGTCTTCTACTTTTTTATGAAGTTACATAGCAACTTCGTTGATGTTAGGAAGAACCTAGACGGTTTATGGAAGCATCCTTGACTTTGTTGTTCACAGTAGCAGCTTGCCAAGTGGGAGAATGAGGACCTCCCGGTCCTTTTCTTTTAGTGCTTCAACCCGAAGCGATAGCTTCTAGCTAGTTCAGAGGATAAGATGGTTGTGCTCCAGCTCACTCAAGAATGGGACGGCAATGGTCCGAACATTACGAAAAGTCTACAAGTCAAACATCACAAACGGCCTATATAAGATATTGTTTCCTTGAATCATGAGATTAATTTAGCAACATATATAGATAAATATTTTTGCAGAGAATTGATTAAATTCTAAAAAAAATATGGCTCGATTCTATGGTGTGGTAAATGGTGGCTCAGCAGTTGAGGGTTCGGGGATAATGATAATGGTGGAATGGTTGTTATGTCTGTTTTAATGATTTCTATGATCATTTTTGCTTGTGGAGACTCTTCTAACGGAGAAAGGAAACGTAGGGGTAATGGAGGTTATTATGGAGGTGGAGGTGGCGGTAGTGGTGGAGGCACCGCTTGCGGTGGGGGAGGAGGTGGAGGTGGAGGCACCGCTTGCGGTGGGGGAGGAGGTGGAGGTGGAGTCACCGCTTGCGGTGGGGGAGGAGGTGGCGGTTGTGGTGGAGGCGGTGGTGGTGGTGGATGCTGAGTTCTTGTATTTGTGGAGTCGTCAAAAGTTTATTCTTGGATATATAGCTTGATCTTTTGGCTAGTGAAGATCAGAGTTTTATGTATGACATATAGTTTTTAAGTTATAGTATGTATTATTAGTGTAAATATTTTTTTTTAACATTAATAATTCGATCAAAGGATATATGTAGAAATCTTTGTAAAATATGAAACTTGCAATCTTGAAATTAAGATAAATTACATATTACACCAGGTAAAAATAACTTGATGCTTTATATGTACGTTACGTGCACATGTAATTGTTTTATATTTGCTAATATTTTCTGCCTGCATAGAGTTTCCAAGAAAATATTATAATGTTTTGTAGTTAATAAAGTTTGGATACACTTTTTATTCATTCGAACTAATAAACCCCAAATGTTCCTCCAAACCAATCAACCCCTAAACTCACTTTAGTTGATACTAACAAATGTGTATCAGTTGCATTACAAATCAGAAACAAGCATGAAAACAAAAGACTACATTGAAAGGAGATGATTGAGTGTAGAAAGAAATGCTATGAGATCAGAAACAAGAAGGCGATCAAATCGCGCAGAGTATAACCCATAGAAATAGCCAATTTGCAAGATGGTGAAAGTATCATCTCTATTTGTTACGCTTTTTAGCCTGCTTGCCTTGACCCTTCTTAGGAGGTCCCTTTCCACGACGTTTAAGCATTTCAAGCTTGCTCAGGCGCTCTTGCTCTTGACGTGCCATCACAAGAGGATCATCTTTCATGATATCATGTGGGTACCATTGTGACACCTTCTCACCGATGAGCTTCTTACGTAAAACCTTGTGGGATGATCTCTGCCCGGTTGGATTAAGCACATGACCAAATATCCTGGCCCTTGCCTCAGTCACCCCTTCAATGGCTGCAGCAGCTACCACATTCTTTAGTCTCCCAAAGTTCATTTCTTGGTTCCGAAAGCAGCTCAGTACACGGATTCTCTGCACAAAGAATCAGAGTCTCAAGACAGACACATTAAACCAAGTCACTATTAGTATATCTTAACTGGTGGTATCATGTAAGTTGCTTCATGTATGATTACCTGTAGTTATCTACCGGTGACTAAAAGTATAAAAATTCTCTTACACTACCAGCATAAAGAAAACATCAATTTGGAATTGTGACAGTTCAAAATCTACGCAAGCCATTATCAACAAGGGTTCAGTGAGAAGTCTAATACAATTGTAAATATTATCCGACTCACTGACAAAAAAGCAATAAGACATCAGGAGTCAAGATGAATTTATTGCTATCACTTCAAAACAAAGTTCATTAGTTCAACATCTTTCATAAGAACTTCTACCTTATCCAGAACACCCTAATCAACAAGGGTGAACTTTTCTCTCCCACTTCTTTTGGTACAGCCGTACAGCTTTATGATATGCTTAGCATCCATTGAAATGGATTAATAATTATGATTCCGCGGGACCTTCTATATTCTCTCTTAGACTCAAGAAGGGTGGTGATACCTAACAAGTATGAACATAACATCACTTTCCTCCCATCTCCAACCTATCCCGCCTTAATGACTGCATGTTTCACCTGTGAATCTGTTTACTATATGTGTGCCGAATGAAGAAAAGAATTTAACAACCAATTACCTAATAGTATTTTACAGCTAACAATAATATTACCACATGATCATTTGTGTTAGCTTAGGTAGACTCAGAGAATAACTTAGAATGATAGCACTTGCAGCAAAATATTGGCATCTTCAACGAGATGGTCCACAGTTGAAGGTGGAGTACAATCGAATCTCAGTGAGCCTGGCAATATGAAGGCACATTCTATAAATTCTAGGATAGCGACGGAGCCATCACCTACTACTATTAGAAATTTTGACAACAAGAAAAAAAGATTTCATAGAATAGCACATGAGATTTCTAGTGTCATAACTACAGACCATAATTGTATTACGTGTGAATGCGGGTATAAACTGTAATTATTCCAAACAGTCCAAATTTTGGATTGGTCTTTGGATATAACTGATAAACCAGTGGATTCCCCTCACCCCCTCCTCAGCTCATTAAATTACAAACGTAAGTTAAAAGATCAATCTTTATAAAAAGAAAAAGAAAAATTGAAAGAGGGGGGTGAATAAAAAACATGGCTCCCAACTCTATGTTTAAACTAGAATGATATCACTTGCAGCAAAATATTGGCATCTTCAACGAGATGGTCCACAGTTGAAGGTGGGAGTACAATCGAATCTCAGTGAGTCTGGCAATATGAAGGAACATTCTATAAATTCTAGGATAGCGACGGAGCCACCACCTACTACTATTAGAAATTTTGACAACAAGAAAAAAAGATTTCATAGAATAGCACATGAGATTTCTAGTGTCATAACTACAGACCATAATTGTATTACGTGTGAATGCGGGTATAAACTGTAATTATTCCGAACAGTCCAAATTTTGGATTAGTCTTTGGTTATAACTGATAAACCAGTGGATTCCCCTCACCCCCTCCTCAGCTCATTAAATTACAAACGTAAGTTAAAAGATCAATCTTTATAAAAATAAAAAGAAAAATTGAAAGAGGGGGGTGAATAAAAAACATGGCTCCCAACTCTATGTTTAAACTATGAATAGGCCACTGATGTACTAGTAAAAGAAGAGAGCAACCAAGGGAGCTCAGAATATAAGGTTCTGACCCTTATGTTAAGAGAAAGATGGATTCGAACAACATATCAGGCTTGTTGTATTGATTAGACACAATGACAAGTCTCGAAACTTATATAGATCAAATTATGTTACTTGTAAAATTAAAAATAACAGTAAATGTGAATAAATCATCCCAATGACAACTTGTACACTAAATTGAAATCAAAACAACTATAAATGAAGACCAAGTCTAAATATTGAGTTATTGACTAATAATTTGTTTTAATGACAGAACAATAATGAATGAGAAAAAGGTGCTTCATCTTCTATGTAACAAACTGAACAATGATTCAGAATTTCTAGCAAGTTGCATAGACAAATCTCACAATTCTAATACAGATTAACCCTCACATCTCAGTCGAAAACACAAATTCACAGTTACAGTTTTTGATTTATATCAAATTAACATAAGTAATGACCTATCGAAATTTCAACTTCCATGGAAAATCAAAAGGAAACAAAAACATGAAGCTCAGGAGAGTATTACCAGTCACCAGAGAAATAGAGGATGAGAGAAACACGAGAAAAAGGGGAAATGCAGAAGCTGTGCTTCACTAAACTCAGTCCCGAGAAGCCGTCTCTGTAATCTGTATTCTTAAAAAAAGAAAAAAAACAATGGTGAAACTGCCATCTGCTTGCATGTTACAGAAAAAACAAACGCACATGTCTAATGCACTCACCCATACACGTCTGTTTATATATACATATAGATATACACTTTTTTAAAAAGGTAAGGATTTAAAAAAAAAATATCAAGATGGTACAAAAAAGAGAAACAAAAACAGAATAGAACAGAAAGCAGCCTACGACACTCTTCTTCCTGACATATCCAAGAAATCCATATACTGGTTCAAACTATCTATTCAGCTACACTTTTACACCCAAAGTACAAATTTTGTAAACATCTATTCTTCATTCTAGAAATGTGAGTTCTCTGCCCTTCGAAGCAAGCCTTGTTCTGCTTCAGCCATATTGATACACACTCATGTAAAAGAAACAAACCTCATGAAACAAAGGAAAATATCTACAAAAAACTTTAACACTACTGAATTAGTAATCTAGATGGTCATGAAAACCAAAGATAACCCCTCCAAACATCTAGAGAACTATTGTACCAATTAGAGACTTGGACCAATGTACCTAGGAATAAAACATTATTTAAGGATTATAAAGGTAGAAACCCAATTTCATCACAACCGTACAGGACCAAGCTCGTTCCTGTTAAACCAAAATACTCTGTTCTTTTTTTTTTGAGAAAGGTAACATTTACTTCTATATATCCACAGGTATACTACATCAAAGTGTAGTTCCCCTCCAAAAATTTGTACTTACAACAGCCCTAAGATCTTCTAGTTACGGCCAGTCAATAACATTAGAAACATCTTCAGAATTTCCTATTACTACTTGCTTACACCAAAAATATAAAGACCTAGGTAGTTTATCTTTATCTTCTGAATATTGTTGTTCTTTCCTTCAAAACATTTTTGATTCCTTTCATTCCAAATTGTCCACCAAATGCATGCTGGGACAATCCTCCATCTCTCCTCCTTTTTTCCTGTATTTCCATCACTATTCCAGCATTTTAGAACTTCTGTGATTCTCCCTGGTTTTGTCCACTTGATCTTCCTCTTGTGAATGAACATCTGCCATAATTGATCTGTCCATTTGCAATGTAAAAAGAGATGGTTGACTGTCTCCACCTGTTCTTCGCATAAATAACATCTAGAGCAAAGGTTGTGTTTCCTCTTGTTCAAGTTTTCGTGTGTCAAGACTTCCTCCTTTGCCAAAAGCCATGTGAAATAATTCACCTTGTATGGGATTTTTGTTCTCCAAATAATCCTCCAAGGATATCCTGCTTGCTGCTCTTCAATAGGTCTCAATTCTCGTTATGCAGATCTTACAGTGAACTCTCCCTTTCTCTCCCCTTTCCATATCAGTCTATCTTGCTCTTCTGTTAGATTGGTAGCCCTAGCCATTGTGTCATGAAATCTTGCTATGGACGTTATTTCCCAGTCATTTAAGTTTCTTCTCGGATGTAAATTCCACCCTTGTCCTATCCATAAGCCTGCCACTGATGCTTCCTGTGCTTGACTTAGACTATGTAGCTCAGGGATGCTTGTTTGAGTGTCTCCTGTTCACACCAGATGTCATTCCGGAAGGCCACTTTTTCTCCATTACCAACCTTACATTTTGTTCTATCTTTGACCAGTAGCCATAAGTTCCTGATTGATCTCCATACACTATAATCATAAGGGTTGGTCACCCCTCTGTCATCCACTTGTCCTCCATGCCATATTTTGCTGTTATTACTTCCTTCCATAGAGATACTTCCGGTGAGGCAAATTTCCACAACAATCTCATCATCAAGCTCTTATTCTGTGTACTCAGATCTCTGATGTTGAGTCCACCCCTTCTCTTGCTAACTAACAACTCCTCCCATTTGACCAAATGATACTTCTTCTTATCTTCACTGCCTTTCCATAGAAAGTTCCTCCTAATTGCATCTAACCTCTTGGTTACTTTGGCTGGTATAGGGAATATTGACATCATGTATGATGGCAAGGCATCCAGACACTGTTAACTAGAGTTAGTCTGCCACCTGAGGATAGATATTGACACTTCCAGTTCACAAGCTTCCTTTAACACTTTTCAATTACACCACTCCATATTCCACTTGATTTGCTCTTATCCCCAAAGGCATTCTCAAGTAGGTTGTTGGTAGTTCACCTACTTTTCCTCTAAGCTTGTAAGCTAAGTCCTCAATATTTGGTACTATGTTTACTGGATAAATGAAACTCTTGTTCCAGTTTATGTGCAAACCTGACACAGCCTTAAAAATATTTAAAATGACTCTAAAAATTAGCATGTGCTCCTTTACAGCTCCACAAAATACTAAAGTGTCATCTGCATATTGTAGATGAGTGATCTCTAGATTGTTTTTTTGTATTCTCTCCCACTTTGAAACCTCTGATCCAACCATTTGCTCTTGCAGTCTGGAATAGGTTGCTCAACCCCTCCATAGCCAAGATAAAAAGAAAAGGAGATAGGGGGTCCCCTTGTCTCAAACCCTTGTTTGATGGGAAAAACCCACATGGGTTTTCGTTGATCAGAATAGAGAATTTCACTGAGCTTATGCAATGTCTGATCCATTTTAACCATCTTTGACCAAAACCCATCCTCTGCATCATCTTCATCAAAAAGTTCCAATACAGGTGATCATATGCCTTCTGGATATCCGGCTTGCATAGGATCCCTGGTTGTTTATCCTTTTTCTTGGAATCAACACATTCATTGGCTATCAACACTGCATCCATGATCTGCCTGCTCTTGATAAAGGCCATTTGTTGCTTGTTCACAAGCTTATGCATCACCTTCTTTAGTCTTTCAGCCAAAAGTTTTGCAATTATCTTGTAAACTCCCCCACTAAACTTATTGGTCAAAAGTCATTAAGTTCTTCTGCCCCTGTCTTCTTAGGTATCAAAGTCACAAAAGTAGCATTTATACTCTTCTCAAACACTCCTTCCACATAGAAGTTTTGAACTGCTGCAACCAATTCTGTTTTGATGATATCCCAACACTGTCTAAAAAAAGCCATTGAAAAGCCATCCGGGCCAGGGTGTTTGTCCCTTGCACATGCTTTGATACATTCTAGAAGTTCCTGAGCTTCAAAAGAGGCCATCAGTTGGTTGTTGTCATCTTCATCAATCATAGGACACTCCCTCATTTCCAATTCTGGCCTCTAATCCTCAGTTTCAGAGTATAGATTCTTATAGTACTCAGTGATCTCTCTTTGAATTTCAGCAGGTTCAGTTAGTACCTCTTCCCTGACTTTGATTTTATCAATAGTGTTGACTCTTCTGTGTGAATTTACTACCTTATGGAAGAAATTGGTATTCATGTCCCCCTGTCTAAGCCAAACTGCCCTAGATCTCTGTCTCCATGCTGCTTCTTCATTTTTGACTATTTCTTCCAACTCAGTGGTAAGAGCTAATCTCCAAAATTCTCTGATCATGTATCATTTCAATTTCTGCTAATTGATTGAGTACAAGTTGCTTTTGTTGTTCAGATTCCCTTGACTAGTCTTGCTCCACTCTTTCAATTTTTCTTTCAATGCCCTCAGCTTTGCTACCAGTATAAAATCTGGTTTTCCCTGGAAATGAAAAGACCCCACCATCCCTCTACTCTGTCATTGAAACCTTCGTTAGTCAGCCATCAATTTTTGAACTTGAAATATGATTTGGTTGACCCCCATTCTCCACATTGTAGCATCAATGGGGAATGATCCGAGACAATTCTCTGCAGAATAGACTGCTTGATATTCCTGAATTTTGTATCCCAATCTTCAGAGATCATGAACCTGTCTAGTCTTGCTACTGTGGAATGTCTTTCACCATTCCTCCATGTGAACTCTCCCCTTGCTAAGTCTAAGTCCATTAATTCAATGTCTTCAATGAACTCTGAAAGATCTGTCATTGACCTACTGATTCTACTGCAGTTGAACTTCTCAGAAGGATATCTCACTGTATTGAAATCCCCGCATAAGATCCAAGGACCTACAAATAGACCTCTAGCTGCCCCCACTTCCCACCAAGTTTCTTCCCTTTCAACTCTGTCATTTGAGGCATAGACTCCCGTTAGGTGCCATTTAAAATCCTGGTTTTTGCGAAACAACATGAATCTTTTTCCTTTTTGATGACTGTGGTGTCCTGGCCGGCTTTCGCGCACCTCAACTAATCTCACGGGATACGTGTCACCTCCCACCAACAAAAGGTGTCCACAATGGCTAGAACATATGGAAAGAAATCACCTTGTGTTTTTATTTCGGCGGGATTTCTTTTTTTTTTGGTAACTATGGAATTTTTATTACCTAAGTGAGAACTCACGCTCAAGTAAATAAAGCAAACCGTCACTGGACATAGTCCCAGTTCTGAGTGTGTACCCTTACTCCTTTACTACCTATCTAGCTCTAGCAAGGATAGAAGTTAAGCTTGGACATAACTCTAGCTAATTTAGGCTTCTTGGAAGCACAGTAGTATATATCTTGGATTATCAATCTCAACATTGTAGACAACGTTCATTTCTTTCCTTGAAATATGACTTGATTCCACTCCTGCCACACTTGATATATACATCAAGCGAAGGCCATTCGATAAATGATAGAGGGAGCTCCATTTGTTGCACAATGACATTCCATCCATAGACGCTCCGTTGGCCAGTCCCAACTAGGTCTTATGATCCCTGCCATTTTAGTAGTTGTTCCCATATATCAGCTGCTACTGGACAATGAAAGATAGATGCCCAAGAATTTCATCAGCCCCTTTACACAGCTTACATTTCTGCTGGAATTTGAACGTGAGATTCTCAACTCACTCCATTAAGCACTAGGCCACACGCTGGATGCCTTTTCATTATTTATTTACTTAAAGCTACAAATACATGACATCAAAGTTAAAGTAAAGATATTCAACCTATTGCAACTTGCAATACAAATAGCTCAATATTCAATACTCACAAAACAATGAGAGTTTGCTGTAAACATGCATTTTTTTTTCTATTTCAAAAATAATAATACACACACAAGTTTTTCAAACCAAAATCACCTTAAAATTTGATCATGCCTTCACAGTTAAACCAAGTAAAAGAACGAGACTGAATTTTTTTGAAAAAAAAAAACTGACCTCAGAAAGAAAGCTAAGTAGATCTGTAGATGATAAAATAAGTGAGCAGTTTCCGATACTGCGATATGCGTCGCCGAGTCGGGAATCGGATTAGTAGAAACCGGTGGCGGTCGTCGGTCGGCGGTATGAGTTTTTGCTTCCCATCGTAGTTGTAGTCTTGTAGAAGTGAATGTAAAACTGAAACCCTGAGAGAGACAAATCCAAAAGAGTCCTTCGTGTATAGGGTCAAGTGAATTTTGGTTCTTTATGTATTACTTTGAACAAATTAGGTCCTTTAAGTTTTAAATAAGTGAACACTTTTGGCCCAGGTGAAGACACACACATTAAAACTAACAGAAAATTTCTACATATATATTCCGTTTGATTGGAATATTTTTTATTTAAAATTAAAGTCAGACCAATTCATATCGATTTTAAAATTTTAAAATCAAAATCAAATAAAAAAGTATCGGTATTTTTTTTCTATTTGATTTAACTTTTCAGTTTTTGTGAACATCCCTAGTTGCGCGTGGTATGAAATTTGTCTTGCCATGTATTAAATTTTCAGAAAATTTATTTTAATCCACCCTATCCTACTCTGCATAAGTTCAAACTCATCCCGTATCGCTCCATTGCCATCTCTATGGATATAGCTTTTTTTTTTGGCTTGTGTAGATTATTAGCATTCAAGTAATATGTAGTTTAAGTTATGTATATCATTAATGAGAATAATTTTTATATTATGAAATTATTCAAAGAACGTATATAGATAAGTCTTCATAAGATATGAAATTTATGATCTTTAAAAAACCACATTACAAATAAATGTGACATGATGTTCAATAATATTAATGATAGGTGTATATAATATACAAAAACATCTCAAGGAAGAGGTAATAAAACCCATGCTTTTTAAGGCCTCAAAATTTTAGAAAAAATTTAGAAGTGAATTTTATGTTTTTATTTTACACAAACAATATTTGAAGATAGAAGAAAACGAGGGAAAAGAGTAAAAATTTACCAAAGTGAAGGGAAAACAGAGAACGCCGATAACTCTTTTTTCTAAATAGTAGATTAAGATTATAAAATTTTAAACTAAACTATCCAAATTTTATATTTAAAAAAAAGTTTTTTACAACACATCTAAAGTAATATATTAGAAAGACATGTCTAACATCTCATCAACGTGATTTAATCTTTGCCTTAATAAATAGAAATATTATTATGTGAACTGTGATATTAAAATAATAGAGATAGTTTTAGAATAAATTATTTAGAAAAAATATTCTTTATTCAATTTTACCTCTTTCAAGTCAAAGTCAAAGTCGGGTAGACTAAGATGGAGTTTATTTTACAGTTGTTCCAGGGATATGGGTATAGAGTGAATTCTATTCACTCTTTATGAAGTGGAGTGCACTCCTTATACTCCCTCCATCCACAATTATTTGGCAGGTATACTAAAAATAGATGTCCAAGATTAATTGTCAATTTAAACAATCAAGAAACAATTAATCACCTTTTTCCTATTCTGGCCTTAATGATAGTGTAGTTCAATTGAAAAGTTATGTAGACTTTTGGTATTCTTGATATAATAGGGTTATATTAGTCAAATTACACATTCTATTAAATTTTTCTTGAGGGGTGTGCATGACCTTACCCTGACAAACAATTGTGGACGGATGGAGTATCATAAATATAAAAGTCAGTATGGTGCCCCAGTAGACGCGCAGCCCGAGTGAGTTTCCGCAGATCCAGATGTGCTAAAGATTGAGGACTATGAGGATACGGTGCTATCCTTGTACTTTGTTTGTTGCACATGGCCTAGTCTAAAAACATTCTTAATCATTTTCCATTTTTTCTAAGTTAGAATTTGGTTATTACAGTTTCTAGTGCTTATTTAATTAGGTTGATTAAATATTCTTCATTATAATACTAAAAAAGTCCAAATTCACTTAGAATTTGGGACTATGTTAATCTTTCCAAAATTTTAAGTTACAACCATAACTAACGTCTAACCAAAACTTTTACTAGACATTAAATATAATTTATTTTTATGGATATTATTTATGATATAAAATAAAATTCACATTTAATTATTCATTAAATAACATAATGATATGATAATCGTCAGTTGATCCTTTGCCTTTATTGAGAATTCGAATGTACTTACGAGGGATAAAAATGAAATTTAAAGATGTTAACCAAGACGATAAAAGAAGATGATTGGGGATTTTATGGACGGTTGAGTATGAAGGAGATGAAATAGAATATTAAGGCGTTACACAAGATCATAAAAGAAAGATGAATGGTTTCGTTATTTAAGCTCAAAACTTCTCTATTTGGAATAAAAATATTGTACTATTAAATTGTAAACATCAATATGTGTAATTTTCAGTTATCTTCTTCCTGATTCAATCAATAGCAACTCCTTCTTTTTCTTTTTTTTTTTAGATAATTTTTCCTTCTCTTTTTTTAAATTTATTTTCTATTCGTTCTCCATACCGGACTTCGAATTATGAAGGTAGTACTCCACCATAACTTTTATTGTTCTGGATAATTTCTTTACTAGTACTATTTAATTAAGGTTTTAGCCGAAACTTAGGTGCAGATTTCACTCGTAAGTTATCCCTATTCCATCATCTATCTTCTGTATTTTGAAAAACAAATAATAATTTGATCCATTCCAAAATAAATAAATAACTCATGTATAAATAGCATGTATATATATAAGTATATAACTAATATTTCATTGTTTTAATTTATTTGACATAAAGTTTAAGAAGGTAAGAACTTTTGAGTCTTATGGTCTTAAACTAAAGATATGTGTAATATATCAAAATGTCATCTAATTTTGTGGTCTTAAACATATCATGAGGAAAATTGAAATAAAAAAATTATCAAAAAAAAAAAGGAAAAAACATTCTTTGTACAACGGGTTAAAAAGAAAAGCAAGACAAACAAATTGAAATGAATGAGGCATATGATATATGTATATTCACTTACATGTATGAATATTGTTGTCGAATATTTATGTGATATATTTCGCTTTTAAAGATTCAAATGGTGTCAACTTTAATTAGTATTTTTAAATAGTTTTTTAAATCATATTGAAAACGGTAATTGATGGTATTTTTAACATAATTTTTGAATAATTAAATTTTAATTTATAATGTTAGAATAGCCCGTCTATTAAAGAAAAAGATGAAAGAAAAATCATCTTGAAGATTAACCAATTTTCTGAAGAATTAGTTTATTTAGTATATAAGGATTAATTGCACGTTCATGAATATAGTATATCAATTAAAGTAGATGCAACTTTCCCGGCTTAAAGAACGGAACTTTAGCAAGAAATCTGTAGAAGAGTTGGTGCTAGGTTAGTCGAAAATAAAAGTTTATTCAGTCCCTGAAAAATTGCTTTTTATGATTTCATCCCAATAATCCAGAAAGTGGATCTATTTCATTTTTTTCTCTTTTGAGAAAAGGAAAATCTTATTTCCCGGATCATTATCCATTTCAATTTGAATTAGGCATTATGTGTCCAATTCTAAGCCATCCTTACCTACATATGCATCTGATCATATATGTATATTATCTATTCCAACAAGTAATACAAAAGAACGAAGTTTGGATGTGTTTCTATCCTTGGGGAGTTCACCGAGGATGAGAACGAGAATCAAATCGATTGAGCGAGGTATAAGGAAGGGCGGCATCTCAAAGAGTGTAATATTCACAGTCCTAATAGTCGAAAAATTGTCATTTATTAAACCTATATAGACAACAGGCTAGCAAAGATCTCACTAGGTATATATGGAGTCAATCATAAAAAAAAGAACTAAAACTCAAGACACAATCTGAAATAACTTTGGAATTTTGATGAGAAAAGAGTTTTTTATTCTTATTGATGACAGCTTACAAAAAGAATTGGAAATTTTACATACAAAAGAATATAGATAGTAGATATATGAACATGAAAAAATGGTAAACCACAAAAACATCACAGTACACCAAGAGCATATGAAGGAGTGTTTGTATTCCTAAAAATACAAGTAGTTGGAGGAATCTGGACAGTTGCTAGTGTCTCTACAGAGTATAGCTCGAGCTTCGACAATTGAACGAGGGGGCTCAATATCCTTCTCTTGCAACGCGTTTCCTTGCAATCTTTGCATTTGGGAAGCAAATATATCGTCCAGAACCTGTAAAAAGTAAACCATGTTAATGCATACATTTTCAAGGACCATTTGTATAATATACATTGTATATACTGATTTTCAGTGTATTTACCCCAAGAGCATGGTAGGAACCGCTATACCATACTCGATTCTCCTTTCTTCCTTCTAAGAATTTCAGTATGATCTAGTAGTGCACGAAAAAAGAACAAAAAGTCATTAGATGGTACTCAAGAGGAAGAAAAAAAAAATGGAGAAAAAATCATTATTGTTGAATAGCTCAAGTTTGAGATGGCCACTAGATTAACCAACCTGTCCCATTTTGTCCCAATATCCACGGCAGATTGCAACAAATATTGCACTTGTAAAGACTTCCTGCAAGTTGCTTATGGAATCTGAGAGTTGTGAATTCAGCATTTGCAGTTTTTCGCGGATCTCAGCCTCACCATCTGTTTCTTTTGTTTCCTCCAAGATCCTCTGCAAACGTGTGCAACGATTCGATTGTGTCTGCAGCAGTCAAAAGTTAGAACAAGATGAAACCTCATTTTCATGCATTTGATAAAATGTACATTAGCTATCACATGGTTTTTGCTCTGACTGAGAAATATAGCCAAATTACATACGAGATAGTAGTAGTTGCTTACATTACTAGCAAGCTTGATTATTATTGCCTGCATGTAGTTTTTGTATTTAGTCCTCAGCAATACTGTAACTCCATTCAGTTGCTCCCCGAAATTGGATTTCTTTTCTCCATTTGCTGGTAGATAGGATGCCCACGACTTCAAAATGTCTTCTAGTTTACAGTGTAGGACGTCAAGAATTCTCTTGATTGTGTTCAAGAAAGTCCCCAACTGTCAAAACAAGGCCAATCATATTAAGTTAGTTATGCCTAAGCATTCTTTGATATTTACAAAAAGAGATCGCGTCTCTCTCTTTTAATATTCACCTTTCATAAACACACTAATTCTTATAATCTATCCATCTATTATTAGCACTTACCTGATTAGGAATGCTATAAAGAGTAGTTGATTGCCTTCTTGC